GGCTTACTTTCACCTCCAGGTGAGAGAAAGACCCGCAGATTAAGCAGGAAAAAGCTTGATGCTCGGTGAATTGTTAACTGATTAGAGCCAGGTCGACTACGGACTGATCAAGTCTTTGGCTGAATCTTTGAATGTACTTAGCAGCTTTGCTGAAAATGATTTGTAATGTTCCTAGAATAATGATCCTCCCTATGTCATGGCTGAATCAGAAATAATGGCGAGATATGTGTCCAGTTCAGTTCTGCGTGCTGAAAACAATTTACATATGACATCTACAAATACGTTGAAAGCTATAAATTCAGCCAAGGTCGGAGATTTAAACAGCCGGGCATCACGATATTTAAGCATCACAGGCTCATCTCCGCAATCCACAATGCGTCTATCATTGTAGTCTGAGCACAGCAAGACTAATGTCAGTACCTGCAAGGATTTGGCTCCGCGGATTAGGTGTAATTGCAGCCGCGACCAGGTCGCGTCGCGTGGTGCTCTGGTGTGTTCACACCGGGTCCAAAGCTGCGGTCGCAAGACACGGCTGGTCGCTGCTGACCCGCTTCTCCTACCTTCCATCTCCCTCCTTTTCTCCCTCATATATACATCCCGCAGCCCAGTTCAAATATTTGAACTTTGGGAGCGATGAGACTTGGCGTCCTGCGACCTCGGCAACGCGACGCAGGTAGCCAGCGGTCGCCAAGTCGCGTCAGGTCGCGGCTGTCCATAGACTTTGCATTGGGAGCCATCGCCGACGTCACCGAAGTAGCGTTTGGTCTGAACACCCCTTAACGCTAAGCTTCATATTTGGGTATTGGTTGACTTGAGTTTCTGTGTTTGTTGAACTTGAGTTTGTGACATGTTTGAACTTGAATTTGTGGTGTTTTTGAACTTGAGTTTGTGTGTTTGTTGAACTTGAGTTTTAGGCGTGTTTGAACTTGAGTTTGTGTTGTTTTTGAACTTGAGGTTTTGGCAAATGTTAAACTTGAGATTTGGGTGTTGGTTGAACTTGAGTTTGTGTCGTATTTGAACTTGATTTTTTTGCAATTTTCGAACTTGAGTTTGTTGAACTTGAGGTTGTGGAAATTGTTAAACTTGAGAATTGGGTATTGATTGAACTTGAGTTTGTGTGTTTGTTGAACTTCAGTTTGTCTCGTGTTTGAACTTGAGTTTCTGTTGTTTTTGAACTTGAGGTTGTGGCAATTGTTAAACTTGAGATTTGGGTGTTGGTTGTAATGAGACAACTGCTTTCTGCTATCCACCTTGAATTCACCCCTCAAAGGAATGCAGGCTCCCCTGGTTTGGACACAGGAAATGGGGGAGTAACGGTTTGCACACCAAGTTCCCATTTACGACCCAAGAAACCATTGGGGAGGTGATAGTGAATCTTTAATGCTTCCCAAAAGGACAAGTTGCTTATCAACCACACAGACCCATAAACACGGAGCCTTTCTCCCTGGCTGGGAAAGATCAGAATTGACACTTCAGGATTAACCATTGACCTAAAAGGAAAACAAAGCATTTGGCGCCAAGTCTGAAAAACCAGATACCTGCCATAAAATCTCCATGGCTTTCTTTACTGAGCAGAAGGAAGAGGATGCCTGAAAATTGTTTAACTTCATGTTTAATGGACATGTCACCAGAATTTTCTGTCTGCACACCACATTCTTAATGAAATGGTCTTTTTCCCAATTTTGTAGCATATCCACAAGCCAAACTGTTAACTTCACAAATTTATTCCAGGTTTTCCATGGATCAAGAGCTCCTCCTAGTGGTGATGCCTGAATATGGTTTGATCAGAGCCAAATGGCAGGAATCTAATCACGTGTATTTCTTTCCTTTTGTTATACACTTCGTAGCTTAGTAAATGGTATTCCCAAGATAGGCTAGTAGTTTAGAAGTAGTAACGTGAAACTCGTTTAGACTCAAGTCAAGAGTTTCTGAATGTATCCATACTATGTTTTGTCTACCTCACACAAATATATATTAATCATCTAGGAAGCTTGATTGACAAAGGTTATAGTGTTGTCAAATATTATCACGTATGTGTTTCTTATGCTGGATGGTGTTTCTGTTCAAATAGATAATTTGTTTTCTGTCCCTCTCTAACTTTTAAAAGTCGTTAATCCTCTGTTAGTGTCAAGAAGACGGCTGATCAAAGTTTACTGTTTCAATGTCATGCTTTAATGCGTCTGCTCATAAGAAACAATGAAGTGAAATGTGATCGTATGTGATGTTACAAACAGTTTAATCATAGTGAGTGAGTAAATCAGATCTAGCTCGCTTTTAATATCAAGTTGAGTTAAATTCGCTGCCAGTCGATGTGCTGCATCGGGTTACAGCATTGGCTGTAACTTTCCTCTTGGCTCACGCCCACACGGGATGGTTTAAAAAGAGCCCGGGAGTCTTTGCTCTTTCTTCAGTTTTTCTCTTCCGTTTTTGTCTCGTCTGTGTTTAGTTCTCTCTTGTTTCGTTTCTTCTTCGTTTTTCTCTTCGTCTATCGTTCGCAATTTTCCCCGCGTTTTATTAATTGCCTTAAGCTCAGATTTTTCTTCTAAACTTGGGTGAAACATTCCCAAGTCCCTTTAAAGCCTCAGTAACAAGCTGCGCGCATAAGAGAACCTCAGTCTAAGTCTTTTTATTTTTGTTCGCTAAAGTGACTCCTGAAGATAATATCGGCTGGCCAGCGAAATTATTTTCTTAAGTTATTGGCGCGAATTAATCTGCAACCAAGCTACTCCTGAACGCCGACCAGCATCATCTGCCAAGCTGCTTTGCCACCTGGTTCCGAGAGGCCCAGAGATCCGAAGTATCTAACGGCACTGACACGGTCCTGAAGCTGAGATCCAGACACGGCGGAAGAACTCCCCGCCGAACCTTCAGTATCCGGTCCGGTAGCCACAGAACTTCAGCTGATCCATTCCAAGGGTGCCGCTGAGAACTGACGTCCAAAGTAGGCTAAATCCTCGAAACTGCTGTGATGAGAATTGGGTGATGCCGTCAACCGTTCAGTAGCTTACTCTCATAAGTTAGAGTTTAGTTCTCCAAATTCCTTTCAATTTACCCTCGTAACTCCGTTAACGTAGGTTAAATTTCCCCTTTATTCACTCAATATTATTAACCTCCAGTCTTAGGTTTAATTTAAACCATTCCTTCGTTTATTCATTAGATGTGCTTTGATTTGCTCATTATTTGCTCATCATTTATTGACGTTTTGTTATCATATAGCTTGTTAATAAATTGTCCATTTAATTTTAAGTTGTCGTCTTAGTGGTCTTTCAGAAAGTAGTCCCTGAATGAAGAATTCCGGCCTCAGATGAGAGACTGATTTAAATCTGTTTAAGACTGATCCAACGTTTAATTACTCAATTGAACTTTGTTTCGTCCTTTTCCCACCAGAAAGGTGGGTGGTGCCCCTTCAACGAGTGCATAAATGTCATTATTTAATTTGATTAATTCTCGACATTTATTTTGAATTTGAAATCGCTACATGGTTGAACTTGAGTTTGTGTCATGTTTGAACTTGAGTTTGTGGTGTTTTTGAACTTGAGTATGTGTGGTTTTTTAACTTAGTTTTGTGGCAATTGTTAAACTTGAGATTTGGGTGTTGGTTGAACTTGGGTTTGTGGTGTTTTTGAACATGAGTTTGTGTCTTTGTTGAACTTGAGTTTGTGGCGTGTTTTAACTTGAGTTTCTGTTGTTTTTGAACTTGAGGTTGTGGCAATTGTTGAACTTGAGATTTGGGTGTTGGTTGAACTTGAGTTTGTGTCATGTTTGAACTTGAGTTTGTGGTGTTTTTGAACTTGAGTTTGTGTGGTTTTTTTAACTTAGTTTTGTGGCAATTGTTAAACTTGAGATTTGGGTGTTGGTTGAACTTGGGTTTGTGGTGTTTTTGAACTTGAGTTTGTGTCTTTGTTGAACTTGAGTTTGTGGCGTGTTTTAACTTGAGTTTCTGTTGTTTTTGAACTTGAAGTTGTGGAAATTGTTGAACTTGAGATTTGGGATTTGGTTGAACTTGACTTTGTTTCATGTTTGAACTTGAGTTTGGGGTGTTTTTGAACTTGAACCTGTGTGTTTTTTGAACTTGAGTTTGTGTTGTTAAGAACTTGAGTTTGTGGTGTTTTTGAAATTGAGTTTGTGTGTTTGTTGAACTTGAGGTTGTGGCAATTGTTAAACTTGATATTTGGGTGTTGGTTGAACTTCAAACTTTGGAATTTGTTGATCTTGAGTTTGTGGTGTTCGTTGAATTCAGTTTCAGCATTTTTTTAACTTGAGTTTGTGTGTTTTTGAACTTGAGTTTGTGGCAATTTTTGAACTTGAGTTTGTATTTTTCACTGAACTTTAGTTTGTAGCGTTTGTTGTACTTGAGTTTGTGGCGTTTGTTGTAATTGAGTTTGTGTCTTGTTTGAACTTGAGTTGGGGGTGTTTTTGAACTTTAGGTTGTGGCAATTGTTGAACTTGAGGATTGTGTGATTGTTGAACTTGAGTTTGTGGCGTGTTTGAACTTGAGTTTCTGTTGTTTTTGAACTTGAGGTTGTTGAAATTGTTAAACTTGAGATTTGGGTTTTGGTTGAACTAAAAACTTTTACATCTGTTGAACTTGAGTTTGTGGCGTGTTTGAACTTGAGTTTCTGTTGTTTTTGAACTTGCGGTTTTGGATATTGTTTAATTTGAGATTTGAGTGTTGGTTGAACTTGACTTTGTCATGTTTGAACTTGAGTTTGTGGTGTTTTTGAACTAGAGTTTGTGTGTTTTTTGAACTTAAGTTTTCTGTCAATTGTTGAACTTGAGTTTATGGTTTTTAGTGAACTTTACTTGGTGGCAGTTGTTGAACTTGAGTTTGTGGGGTTTGTTGAACTTGAGCATGTGTCGTGATTGAACTTGAGTTTGAGGGGTTTGTTGAACTTGACTTTGTCATGTTTGAACTTGAGTTTGTGGTGTTTTTGAACTAGAGTTTGTGTGTTTTTTGAACTTAAGTTTTCTGTCAATTGTTGAACTTGAGTTTATGGTTTTTAGTGAACTTTACTTGGTGGCAGTTGTTGAACTTGAGTTTGTGGGGTTTGTTGAACTTGAGCATGTGTCGTGATTGAACTTGAGTTTGAGGGGTTTGTTGAACTTGAGTTTGTTTCGTGTTTGAACTTGAGTTTGTGGTGTTTTTGAACTTGAGTCTGTGTTGCTTTTGAACTTGAGGTTGTGGAAATTGTTAAACTTGAGAATTGGGTATTGGCTGAACTTGAGTTTTTGAACTTGAGTTTGTGTGTTTGAACTTGAGTTTCTGTTGTTTTTGAACTTGAGGTTGTGGCAATTGTTAAACTTGTGGCAATTGTTAAGATTTGGGTGTTGGTTGAACTTGAGTTTGTGTCGTGTTTGATCTTGAGTTCTTGTTGTTTGTTGAACTTGAGTTTGTGTGTTTTTTGAACTTGAGTTTTTGTCATGTTTGAACTTGAGTTTGTGGTGTTTTTGAACTTAGGTTTGTGGCAATTGTTAAACTTGAGATTTGGGTGTTGGTTGAACTTGGGTTTGTGGTGTTTTTGAACTTGAGTTTGTGTCTTTGTTGAACTTGAGTTTGTGGCGTGTTTTAACTTGAGTTTCTGTTGTTTTTGAACTTGAGGTTGTGGAAATTGTTGAACTTGAGATTTGGGATTTGGTTGAACTTGACTTTGTTTCATGTTTGAACTTCAGTTTGGGGTGTTTTTGAACTTGAGCTTGTGTGTTTTTTGAACTTGAGTTTGTGTTGTTAAGAACTTGAGTTTGTGGTGTTTTTGAACTTGAGGATTGTGTGTTTGTTGAACTTGAGTTTGTCTCGTGTTTGAACTTGAGTTTCGGTTGTTTTTGAACTTGAGGTTGTGGAAATTGTTAAACTTGAGATTTGGGTTTTGGTTGAACTTAAAACTTTTACATTTGTTGAACTTGAGTTTGTGGCGTGTTTGAACTTGAGTTTCTGTTGTTTTTGAACTTGCGGTTTTGGATATATTTTAATTTGAGATTTGAGTGTTGGTTGAACTTGACTTTGTCATGTTTGAACTTGAGTTTGTGGTGTTTTTGAACTAGAGTTTGTGTGTTTTTTTAACTTAAGTTTTCTGTCAATTGTTGAACTTGAGTTTATGGTTTTTAGTGAACTTTACTTGGTGGCAGTTGTTGAATTTGAGTTTGTGGGGTTTGTTGAACTTGAGCATGTGTCGTGTTTGAACTTGAGTTTGTGGTGTTTTTGAACTTGAGTCTGTGTTGCTTTTGAACTTGAGGTTGTGGAAATTGTCAAACTTGAGAATTGGGTATTGGCTGTACTTGAGTTTTTGAACTTGAGTTTGTGTCATGTTTGAACTTGAGTTTGTTGTGTGTTTGAACTTGAGTTGATTTGTTTGATGAACTTTAGGTTGTGGCATTTGTTAAATTTGAGATTTGAGTGTTGGTTCAACTTGAGTTTGTGTCGTGTTTGAACTTGAGTTCGTGTTGTTTGTTGAACTTGAGTTTGTGTGTTTTTTGAAATTGAGGTTGTGAAAATTTATAAACTTGAGAATCAGGTGTTGGTTGAACTTGAGTTTGTGTCGTGTTTGAACTTGAGTTTGTGTCGTGTTTGAACTTGAGTTTGTGGTGTATTTGAACTTGAGTTCGTGTGTTTGTTGAACTTGAGGTTGTGGCAATTGTAAAACTTGAGATTTGTGTGTTGGTTGTACTTGAGTTTGTGTGTTTTTTAACTTGAGTTTGTGGAGTTTTTGAACTTGAGTTTCTGTGTTTTTTGAACTTGAGTTTGTATGTTTTTTGAACTTGAGTTTGTGTTGTGTTTGAACTTGAATTTGTGGTATTTTTGAACTTGAGTTTTTTTTCATATTTAAACTTGAGTTTGTGGTGTTTTTGAACTTGAGGGTGTGTAATTTTTTGAACTTGAGGTTGTGGGAATTGTTAAACTTGAGTTTGTGTGTTTGTTGAACTTGAGTTTTTGTCGTGTTTGAACTTGAGTATGTGTGTTTGTTGAACTTGAGTTTGTCTCGTGTTTGAACTTGAGTTTCTGTTGTTTTTGAACTTGAGGTTGTGGAAATGGTTAAACTTGAGAATCAGGTGTTGGTTGAACTTGAGTTGCGTGTTTGTTGAACTTGAGTTTGTGCCGTGTTTGAACTGGAGTTTGTGTTGTTTTTGATCTTGAGTTTGTGTGTTTGTTGAACTTGAGTTTGTGTTGTGTTTGAACTTGAGTTTGTCTCGTGTTTGAACTTGAGTTTGTGTTGTGTTTGGTGAACTTGAGATTGTGTGATTATTGAACTTGAGTTTCTGTTGTTTTTGAACTTGAGGTTGTGGAAAAGGTTAAATTTGACAATCAGGTTTTGGTTGAACTTGAGTTGCGTGTTTGGTGAACTTGAGTTTGTATTGTCTTTGAACTTGAGTTTTTGGTGTTTTTGAACTTGTGTTTGTGTGTTTTTGAACTTGAGTTTGTGTGTTTGTTGAACTTGAGTTTGTGTTTTTTTTAACTTGAGTTTGTGGTGTTTTTGAACTTGACTTTGTTTCGTTTTTGAACTTGAGTTTGTGGCATTTGTTGAACTTGACTTTGTGTTGTGTTTGTACTTTAGTTTTTGGTGTTTTTGAACTTGAGTTTCTGTTTTTTTTAACTTGAGGTTGTGGAAATTGCTAAACTTGAGAATTGGGTATTGGTTGAACTTGAGTTTTTTGTGTTTTTGAACTTGAGTTTGTGTTGTTTTTGAATTGAGTTTGTGGTGTTTTTGAACTTGAATTTGGGTATTTGGTGAACTTGAGTTTGTGTGTTTTTTGAACTTGAGTTTCTGTTTTTTTTAACTTGAAGTTGTGGAAATTGTTAAACCTTAGAATCAGGTGTTGGTTGAACTTGAGATTGTGTGTTTCTTGAACTTGAGTTTGTGTCGTGTTTGAACTTGAGTTTATGGTGATTTTGAACTTGAGTTTGTGGTGTTTTTTAACTTAAGTTTGTTTTGTGTTTGAACTTGAGTTTGTGTCGTGTTTGAACTTGAGTTTGTGGTGTTTTTGAACTTGAGGTTGTTGAAATTGTTAAACTTGAGAATTGGGTATTGGTTGAACTTGAGTTTGTGATTTTGTTGAACTTGAGTTTGTGTCGTGTTTTAACTTGAGTTTGTGATGTTTTTGAATTTGAGTTTGTGTGTTTGTTGAACTTGAGTTTGTGTTGTGTTTGACCTTGAGTTTGTGGTGTTTTTGAACTTAAGTTTGTTTCGTGTTTGAACTTGAGTTCTTGTCATGTTTGAACTTGAGTTTGTGGTGTTTTTGAACTTAAGTTTGTTTCGTGTTTGAACTTGAGTTTTTGTCATGTTTGAACTTGAGTTTGTGGTGTTTTTGAACTTGAGTTTGTGGTGTGTTTGAACTTGAGTTTGTGTGTTTTGTTGAACTTAAGGTTGTTGCAATTTTTAAACTTGAGATTTGGGAATTTGTTAAACTTGAGTTATTGTGTTTGTTGAACTTGAGTTCGTGTTGTGTTTGAACTTGAGTTTGTGGTGTTTTTGAACTTGAGTTTGTGTGTTTGTTGAACTTGAGTTTGTGTTGTGTTTGAACTTGAGTTTGTGTTGTTTTTGAGCTTGAGTGTGTGGTGTTTTTGAACTTGAGTTTATGATATTTTTGAACTTGAGGTTGTGGAAATTGTTTAACTTGAGAATTGAGTATTGTTTGAACTTGAGTTTTTTTGTTTTTGAACTTGAGTTTGTGTCGTGTTTAAACTTGAGTTTGTCGTGTGTTTGAACTTGAGTTTGTGTGTTTTTTGAACTTGAGGTTGTGGCAATTGTTAAACTTGAGATTTGGGTGATCGTTGAACTTTAGTTTGTGTCGTGTTTGAACTTTAGTTAATGTTGTTTGTTTAACTTGAGTTTGTCTGTTTTTTTAACTTGAGGTTTTGAAATTTTTTAAACTTGAGATTTGGGTATTGGTTGAACTTGAGTTAGTGTGTTTGTTGAACTTGAGTTCGTGTCGTGTTTGAACTTGAGTTTTTAGTGTTTTTGAACTTGAGTCTGTGTGTTTTTTTAACTTTAATTTGTGTTGTGTTTGAACGTGAGTTTGTGGTGTTTTTGAACTTGTGTTTGTTTCATGTTTGAACTTGAGTTTGTGGCGTTTGTTGAACTTGAGTTTGTGGTGTTTGTTGAACTTGAGTTTGTGTCATGTTTGAACTTGAGTTTGTAGTGTGTTTGACCATGAGTTTGTGGTGTGTTTGAACTTAAGTTTGTGTGTTTGTTGAACTTGAGGTTGTGGCAATTTTCAAGCTTGAGATTTGGATGTTGGTTGAACTTGAGTTTGTGTGTTTTTTGAATTTGAGTTCGTGTTGTTTGTTGAACTTGAGTTTGTGAAAATTTTTAAACTTGAGAATCAGGTGTTGGTTGAACTTGAGTTTGTGGTTTTTGGTAGACCAGAGTTTGTGTCGTGTTTGAACTTGAGTTTGTGGTGTTTTTGAACCTGAGTTTGTTTCGTGTTTGAACTTGAGTTTGTGGTGTTTTTGAACTTGAGTTTGTGTGTTTGTTGAACTTGAGTTCGTGTCGTGTTTGAACTTGAGTTTGTGGTGTTTTTGAACTTGAGTTTGTGTGTTTGTTGAACTTGAGTTTGTGTTGTGTTTGAACTTGAGTTTGTGTTGTTTTTGAGCTTGAGTGTGTGGTGTTTTTGAACTTGAGTTTATGATATTTTTGAACTTGAGGTTGTGGAAATTTTTTAACTTGAGAATTGAGTATTTGTTGAACTTGAGTTTTTTTTGTTTTTGAACTTAAGTTTGTGTCGTGTTTAAACTTGAGTTTGTCGTGTGTTTGAACTTGAGTTTGTGTGTTTTTTGAACTTGAGGTTGTGGCAATTGTTAAACTTGAGATTTGGGTGATCGTTGAACTTTAGTTTGTGTCGTGTTTGAACTTTAGTTAATGTTGTTTGTTTAACTTGAGTTTGTCTGTTTTTTTAACTTGAGGTTTTGAAATTTTTTAAACTTGAGATTTGGGTATTGGTTGAACTTGAGTTAGTGTGTTTGTTGAACTTAAGTTCGTGTAGTGTTTGAACTTGAGTTTTTAGTGTTTTTGAACTTGAGTCTGTGTGTTTTTTGAACTTTAATTTGTGTTGTGTTTGAACGTGAATTTGTGGTGTTTTTGAACTTGTGTTTGTTTCATGTTTGAACTTGAGTTTGTGGCGTTTGTTGAACTTGAGTTTGTGGTGTTTGTTGAACTTGAGTTTGTGTCATGTTTGAACTTGAGTTTGTAGTGTGTTTGACCATGAGTTTGTGGTGTGTTTGAACTTAAGTTTGTGTGTTTGTTGAACTTGAGGTTGTGGCAATTTTCAAGCTTGAGATTTGGATGTTGGTTGAACTTGAGTTTGTGTGTTTTTTGAATTTGAGTTCGTGTTGTTTGTTGAACTTGAGTTTGTGAAAATTTTTAAACTTGAGAATCAGGTGTTGGTTGAACTTGAGTTTGTGGTTTTTGGTAGACCAGAGTTTGTGTCGTGTTTGAACTTGAGTTTGTGGTGTTTTTGAACTTGAGTTTGTTTCGTTTTTGAACTTGAGTTTGTGGTGTTTTTGAACTTGAGTTTGTGTGTTTGTTGAACTTGAGTTCGTGTCGTGTTTGAACTTGAGTTTGTGGTGTTTTTTGAACTTGAGTTTGTGTGTTTGTTGAACTTGAGTTTGTGTTGTGTTTGAACTTGAGTTTGTGTTGTTTTTGAGCTTGAGTGTGTGGTGTTTTTGAACTTGAGTTTATGATATTTTTGAACTTGAGGTTGTGGAAATTTTTTAACTTGAGAATTGAGTATTGTTTGAACTTGAGTTTTTTTGTTTTTGAACTTGAGTTTGTGTCGTGTTTAAACTTGAGTTTGTCGTGTGTTTGAACTTGAGTTTGTGTGTTTTTTGAACTTGAGGTTGTGGCAATTGTTAAACTTGAGATTTGGGTGATCGTTGAACTTTAGTTTGTGTCGTGTTTGAACTTTAGTTAATGTTGTTTGTTTAACTTTAGTTTGTCTGTTTTTTTAACTTGAGGTTTTGAAATTTTTTAAACTTGAGATTTGGGTATTGGTTGAACTTGAGTTAGTGTGTTTGTTGAACTTGAGTTCGTGTCGTGTTTGAACTTGAGTTTTTAGTGTTTTTGAACTTGAGTCTGTGTGTTTTTTTAACTTTAATTTGTGTTGTGTTTGAACGTGAGTTTGTGGTGTTTTTGAACTTGTGTTTGTTTCATGTTTGAACTTGAGTTTGTGGCGTTTGTTGAACTTGAGTTTGTGGTGTTTGTTGAACTTGAGTTTGTGTCATGTTTGAACTTGAGTTTGTAGTGTGTTTGACCATGAGTTTGTGGTGTGTTTGAACTTAAGTTTGTGTGTTTGTTGAACTTGAGGTTATGGCAATTTTCAAGCTTGAGATTTGGATGTTGGTTGAACTTGAGTTTGTGTGTTTTTTGAATTTGAGTTCGTGTTGTTTGTTGAACTTGAGTTTGTGAAAATTTTTAAACTTGAGAATCAGGTGTTGGTTGAACTTGAGTTTGTGTGTTTTTTGATCTTGAGTTTCTGTTGTTTTTGAACTTGAGGTTGTGGAAATGGTAAAACTTGAGAATCAGGTGTTGGTTGAACTTGAGTTGCGTGTTTGGTGAATTTGAGTTTGTATTGTCTTTGTACTTGAGGTTTTGTTGTTTTTGAACTTGAGGTTGTGGAAATTGTTAAACTTGAGAATCAGGTGTTGGTTGAACTTGAGTTTGTGTGTTTGTTGAACTTGAGTTTGTGTCGTGTTTGAACTTGAGTTTGTGTCGTTTTTGAACTATAGTTTGTGTGTTTGTTGAACTTGAGTTTGTGTTGTGTTTGAACTTGAGATTGTGTGATTATTGAACTTGAGTTTCTGTTGTTTTTGAACTTGAGGTTTTGGAAAAGGTTAAACTTGAGAATCAGGTTTTGGTTGAACTTGAGTTGCGTGTTTGGTGAACTTGAGTTTGTATTGTCTTTGAACTTGAGTTTTTGGTGTTTTTGAACTTGTGTTTGTGTGTTTTTGAACTTGAGTTTGTGGTGTTTTTGAACTTAAGTTTGTTTCGTGTTTGAACTTGAGTTCTTGTCATGTTTGAACTTGAGTTTGTGGTGTTTTTGAACTTGAGTTTGTGGTGTGTTTGAACTTGAGTTTGTGTGTTTTGTTGAACTTAAGGTTGTTGCAATTTTTAAACTTGAGATTTGGGAATTTGTTAAACTTGAGTTATTGTGTTTGTTGAACTTGAGTTCGTGTCGTGTTTGAACTTGAGTATGTGTGTTTGTTGAACTTGAGTTTGTCTCGTGTTTGAACTTGAGTTTCTGTTGTTTTTGAACTTGAGGTTGTGGAAATGGTTAAACTTGAGAATCAGGTGTTGGTTGAACTTGAGTTGCGTGTTTGTTGAACTTGAGTTTGTGCCGTGTTTGAACTGGAGTTTGTGTCGTTTTTGATCTTGAGTTTGTGTGTTTGTTGAACTTGAGTTTGTGTTGTGTTTGAACTTGAGTTTGTCTCGTGTTCGAACTTGAGTTTGTGTTCTGTTTGGTGAACTTGAGATTGTGTGATTATTGAACTTGAGTTTCTGTTGTTTTTGAACTTGAGGTTGTGGAAAAGGTTAAATTTGAGAATCAGGTTTTGGTTGAACTTGAGTTGCGTGTTTGGTGAACTTGAGTTTGTATTGTCTTTGAACTTGAGTTTTTGGTGTTTTTGAACTTGTGTTTGTGTGTTTTTGAACTTGAGTTTGTGTGTTTGTTGAACTTGAGTTTGTGTTTTTTTTGAACTTGAGTTTGTGGTGTTTTTGAACTTGACTTTGTTTCGTTTTTGAACTTGAGTTTGTGGCATTTGTTGAACTTGACTTTGTGTTGTGTTTGTACTTTAGTTTTTGGTGTTTTTGAACTTGAGTTTCTGTTTTTTTTTAACTTGAGGTTGTGGAAATTGCTAAACTTGAGAATTGGGTATTGGTTGAACTTGAGTTTTTTGTGTTTTTGAACTTGAGTTTGTGTTGTTTTTGAATTGAGTTTGTGGTGTTTTTGAACTTGAATTTGGGTATTTGGTGAACTTGAGTTTGTGTGTTTTTTTAACTTGAGTTTGTGTCGTGTTTGAACTTGAGTTTGTGTCGTTTTTGAACTATAGTTTGTGTGTTTGTTGAACTTGAGTTTGTGTTGTGTTTGAACTTGAGATTGTGTGATTATTGAACTTGAGTTTCTGTTGTTTTTGAACTTGAGGTTTTGGAAAAGGTTAAACTTGAGAATCAGGTTTTGGTTGAACTTGAGTTGCGTGTTTGGTGAACTTGAGTTTGTATTGTCTTTGAACTTGAGTTTTTGGTGTTTTTGAACTTGTGTTTGTGTGTTTTTGAACTTGAGTTTGTGGTGTTTTTGAACTTAAGTTTGTTTCGTGTTTGAACTTGAGTTCTTGTCATGTTTGAACTTGAGTTTGTGGTGTTTTTGAACTTGGGTTTGTGGTGTGTTTGAACTTGAGTTTGTGTGTTTTGTTGAACTTAAGGTTGTTGCAATTTTTAAACTTGAGATTTGGGAATTTGTTAAACTTGAGTTATTGTGTTTGTTGAACTTGAGTTTGTCTCGTGTTTTTGAACTTGTGTTTGTGTGTTTTTGAACTTGAGTTTGTGGTGTTTTTGAACTTAAGTTTGTTTCGTGTTTGAACTTGAGTTCTTGTCATGTTTGAACTTGAGTTTGTGGTGTTTTTGAACTTGAGTTCGTGTCGTGTTTGAACTTGAGTATGTGTGTTTGTTGAACTTGAGTTTGTCTCGTGTTTGAACTTGAGTTTCTGTTGTTTTTGAACTTGAGGTTGTGGAAATGGTTAAACTTGAGAATCAGGTGTTGGTTGAACTTGAGTTGCGTGTTTGTTGAACTTGAGTTTGTGCCGTGTTTGAACTGGAGTTTGTGTCGTTTTTGATCTTGAGTTTGTGTGTTTGTTGAACTTGAGTTTGTGTTGTGTTTGAACTTGAGTTTGTCTCGTGTTTGAACTTGAGTTTGTGTTGTGTTTGGTGAACTTGAGATTGTGTGATTATTGAACTTGAGTTTCTGTTGTTTTTGAACTTGAGGTTGTGGAAAAGGTTAAATTTGAGAATCAGGTTTTGGTTGAACTTGAGTTGCGTGTTTGGTGAACTTGAGTTTGTATTGTCTTTGAACTTGAGTTTTTGGTGTTTTTGAACTTGTGTTTGTGTGTTTTTGAACTTGAGTTTGTGTGTTTGTTGAACTTGAGTTTGTGTTTTTTTTAACTTGAGTTTGTGGTGTTTTTGAACTTGACTTTGTTTCGTTTTTGAACTTGAGTTTGTGGCATTTGTTGAACTTGACTTTGTGTTGTGTTTGTACTTTAGTTTTTGGTGTTTTTGAACTTGAGTTTCTGGTTTTTTTAACTTGAGGTTGTGGAAATTGCTAAACTTGAGAATTGGGTATTGGTTGAACTTGAGTTTTTTGTGTTTTTGAACTTGAGTTTGTGTTGTTTTTGAATTGAGTTTGTGGTGTTTTTGAACTTGAATTTGGGTATTTGGTGAACTTGAGTTTGTGTGTTTTTTGAACTTGAGTTTCTGTTTTTTTTTAACTTGAAGTTGTGGAAATTGTTAAACCTTAGAATCAGGTGTTGGTTGAACTTGAGATTGTGTGTTTCTTGAACTTGAGTTTGTGTCGTGTTTGAACTTGAGTTTATGGTGATTTTGAACTTGAGTTTGTGGTGTTTTTTAACTTAAGTTTGTTTTGTGTTTGAACTTGAGTTTGTGTCGTGTTTGAACTTGAGTTTGTGGTGTTTTTGAACTTGAGGTTGTTGAAATTGTTAAACTTGAGAATTGGGTATTGGTTGAACTTGAGTTTGTGATTTTGTTGAACTTGAGTTTGTGTCGTGTTTTAACTTGAGTTTGTGATGTTTTTGAATTTGAGTTTGTGTGTTTGTTGAACTTGAGTTTGTGTTGTGTTTGACCTTGAGTTTGTGGTGTTTTTGAACTTAAGTTTGTTTCGTGTTTGAACTTGAGTTCTTGTCATGTTTGAACTTGAGTTTGTGGTGTTTTTGAACTTAAGTTTGTTTCGTGTTTGAACTTGAGTTCTTGTCATGTTTGAACTTGAGTTTGTGGTGTTTTTGAACTTGAGTTTGTGGTGTGTTTGAACTTGAGTTTGTGTGTTTTGTTGAACTTAAGGTTGTTGCAATTTTTAAACTTGAGATTTGGGAATTTGTTAAACTTGAGTTATTGTGTTTGTTGAACTTGAGTTCGTGTTGTGTTTGAACTTGAGTTTGTGGTGTTTTTGAACTTGAGTTTGTGTGTTTGTTGAACTTGAGTTTGTGTTGTGTTTGAACTTGAGTTTGTGTTGTTTTTGAGCTTGAGTGTGTGGTGTTTTTGAACTTGAGTTTATGATATTTTTGAACTTGAGGTTGTGGAAATTGTTTAACTTGAGAATTGAGTATTGTATGAACTTGAGTTTTTTGTTTTTGAACTTGAGTTTGTGTCGTGTTTAAACTTGAGTTTGTCGTGTGTTTGAACTTGAGTTTGTGTGTTTTTTGAACTTGAGGTTGTGGCAATTGTTAAACTTGAGATTTGGGTGATCGTTGAACTTTAGTTTGTGTCGTGTTTGAACTTTAGTTAATGTTGTTTGTTTAACTTGAGTTTGTCTGTTTTTTTAACTTGAGGTTTTGAAATTTTTTAAACTTGAGATTTGGGTATTGGTTGAACTTGAGTTAGTGTGTTTGTTGAACTTGAGTTCGTGTCGTGTTTGAACTTGAGTTTTTAGTGTTTTTGAACTTGAGTCTGTGTGTTTTTTTAACTTTAATTTGTGTTGTGTTTGAACGTGAGTTTGTGGTGTTTTTGAACTTGTGTTTGTTTCATTTTTGAACTTGAGTTTGTGGCGTTTGTTGAACTTGAGTTTGTGGTGTTTGTTGAACTTGAGTTTGTGTCATGTTTGAACTTGAGTTTGTAGTGTGTTTGACCATGAGTTTGTGGTGTGTTTGAACTTAAGTTTGTGTGTTTGTTGAACTTGAGGTTGTGGCAATTTTCAAGCTTGAGATTTGGATGTTGGTTGAACTTGAGTTTGTGTGTTTTTTGAATTTGAGTTCGTGTTGTTTGTTGAACTTGAGTTTGTGAAAATTTTTAAACTTGAGAATCAGGTGTTGGTTGAACTTGAGTTTGTGGTTTTTGGTAGACCAGAGTTTGTGTCGTGTTTGAACTTGAGTTTGTGGTGTTTTTGAACCTGAGTTTGTTTCGTGTTTGAACTTGAGTTTGTGGTGTTTTTGAACTTGAGTTTGTGTGTTTGTTGAACTTGAGTTCGTGTCGTGTTTGAACTTGAGTTTGTGGTGTTTTTGAACTTGAGTTTGTGTGTTTGTTGAACTTGAGTTTGTGTTGTGTTTGAACTTGAGTTTGTGTTGTTTTTGAGCTTGAGTGTGTGGTGTTTTTGAACTTGAGTTTATGATATTTTTGAACTTGAGGTTGTGGAAATTGTTTAACTTGAGAATTGAGTATTGTTTGAACTTGAGTTTTTTTGTTTTTGAACTTGAGTTTGTGTCGTGTTTAAACTTGAGTTTGTCGTGTGTTTGAACTTGAGTTTGTGTGTTTTTTGAACTTGAGGTTGTGGCAATTGTTAAACTTGAGATTTGGGTGATCGTTGAACTTTAGTTTGTGTCGTGTTTGAACTTTAGTTAATGTTGTTTGTTTAACTTGAGTTTGTCTGTTTTTTTAACTTGAGGTTTTGAAATTTTTTAAACTTGAGATTTGGGTATTGGTTGAACTTGAGTTAGTGTGTTTGTTGAACTTGAGTTCGTGTCGTGTTTGAACTTGAGTTTTTAGTGTTTTTGAACTTGAGTCTGTGTGTTTTTTTAACTTTAATTTGTGTTGTGTTTGAACGTGAGTTTGTGGTGTTTTTGAACTTGTGTTTGTTTCATGTTTGAACTTGAGTTTGTGGCGTTTGTTGAACTTGAGTTTGTGGTGTTTGTTGAACTTGAGTTTGTGTCATGTTTGAACTTGAGTTTGTAGTGTGTTTGACCATGAGTTTGTGGTGTGTTTGAACTTAAGTTTGTGTGTTTGTTGAACTTGAGGTTGTGGCAATTTTCAAGCTTGAGATTTGGATGTTGGTTGAACTTGAGTTTGTGTGTTTTTTGAATTTGAGTTCGTGTTGTTTGTTGAACTTGAGTTTGTGAAAATTTTTAAACTTGAGAATCAGGTGTTGGTTGAACTTGAGTTTGTGGTTTTTGGTAGACCAGAGTTTGTGTCGTGTTTGAACTTGAGTTTGTGGTGTTTTTGAACTTGAGTTTGTTTCGTTTTTGAACTTGAGTTTGTGGTGTTTTTGAACTTGAGTTTGTGTGTTTGTTGAACTTGAGTTCGTGTCGTGTTTGAACTTGAGTTTGTGGTGTTTTTGAACTTGAGTTTGTGTGTTTGTTGAACTTGAGTTTGTGTTGTGTTTGAACTTGAGTTTGTGTTGTTTTTGAGCTTGAGTGTGTGGTGTTTTTGAACTTGAGTTTATGATATTTTTGAACTTGAGGTTGTGGAAATTTTTTAACTTGAGAATTGAGTATTGTTTGAACTTGAGTTTTTTTGTTTTTGAACTTGAGTTTGTGTCGTGTTTAAACTTGAGTTTGTCGTGTGTTTGAACTTGAGTTTGTGTGTTTTTTGAACTTGAGGTTGTGGCAATTGTTAAACTTGAGATTTGGGTGATCGTTGAACTTTAGTTTGTGTCGTGTTTGAACTTTAGTTAATGTTGTTTGTTTAACTTTAGTTTGTCTGTTTTTTTAACTTGAGGTTTTGAAATTTTTTAAACTTGAGATTTGGGTATTGGTTGAACTTGAGTTAGTGTGTTTGTTGAACTTGAGTTCGTGTCGTGTTTGAACTTGAGTTTTTAGTGTTTTTGAACTTGAGTCTGTGTGTTTTTTTAACTTTAATTTGTGTTGTGTTTGAACGTGAGTTTGTGGTGTTTTTGAACTTGTGTTTGTTTCATGTTTGAACTTGAGTTTGTGGCGTTTGTTGAACTTGAGTTTGTGGTGTTTGTTGAACTTGAGTTTGTGTCATGTTTGAACTTGAGTTTGTAGTGTGTTTGACCATGAGTTTGTGGTGTGTTTGAACTTAAGTTTGTGTGTTTGTTGAACTTGAGGTTATGGCAATTTTCAAGCTTGAGATTTGGATGTTGGTTGAACTTGAGTTTGTGTGTTTTTTGAATTTGAGTTCGTGTTGTTTGTTGAACTTGAGTTTGTGAAAATTTTTAAACTTGAGAATCAGGTGTTGGTTGAACTTGAGTTTGTGTGTTTTTTGAACTTGAGTTTCTGTTGTTTTTGAACTTGAGGTTGTGGAAATGGTAAAACTTGAGAATCAGGTGTTGGTTGAACTTGAGTTGCGTGTTTGGTGAATTTGAGTTTGTATTGTCTTTGTACTTGAGGTTTTGTTGTTTTTGAACTTGAGGTTGTGGAAATTGTTAAACTTGAGAATCAGGTGTTGGTTGAACTTGAGTTTGTGTGTTTGTTGAACTTGAGTTTGTGTCGTGTTTGAACTTGAGTTTGTGTCGTTTTTGAACTATAGTTTGTGTGTTTGTTGAACTTGAGTTTGTGTTGTGTTTGAACTTGAGATTGTGTGATTATTGAACTTGAGTTTCTGTTGTTTTTGAACTTGAGGTTTTGGAAAAGGTTAAACTTGAGAATCAGGTTTTGGTTGAACTTGAGTTGCGTGTTTGGTGAACTTGAGTTTGTATTGTCTTTGAACTTGAGTTTTTGGTGTTTTTGAACTTGTGTTTGTGTGTTTTTGAACTTGAGTTTGTGGTGTTTTTGAACTTAAGTTTGTTTCGTGTTTGAACTTGAGTTCTTGTCATGTTTGAACTTGAGTTTGTGGTGTTTTTGAACTTGAGTTTGTGGTGTGTTTGAACTTGAGTTTGTGTGTTTTGTTGAACTTAAGGTTGTTGCAATTTTTAAACTTGAGATTTGGGAATTTGTTAAACTTGAGTTATTGTGTTTGTTGAACTTGAGTTCGTGTCGTGTTTGAACTTGAGTATGTGTGTTTGTTGAACTTGAGTTTGTCTCGTGTTTGAACTTGAGTTTCTGTTGTTTTTTAACTTGAGGTTGTGGAAATGGTTAAACTTGAGAATCAGGTGTTGGTTGAACTTGAGTTGCGTGTTTGTTGAACTTGAGTTTGTGCCGTGTTTGAACTGGAGTTTGTGTCGTTTTTGATCTTGAGTTTGTGTGTTTGTTGAACTTGAGTTTGTGTTGTGTTTGAACTTGAGTTTGTCTCGTGTTCGAACTTGAGTTTGTGTTCTGTTTGGTGAACTTGAGATTGTGTGATTATTGAACTTGAGTTTCTGTTGTTTTTGAACTTGAGGTTGTGGAAAAGGTTAAATTTGAGAATCAGGTTTTGGTTGAACTTGAGTTGCGTGTTTGGTGAACTTGAGTTTGTATTGTCTTTGAACTTGAGTTTTTGGTGTTTTTGAACTTGTGTTTGTGTGTTTTTGAACTTGAGTTTGTGTGTTTGTTGAACTTGAGTTTGTGTTTTTTTTAACTTGAGTTTGTGGTGTTTTTGAACTTGACTTTGTTTCGTTTTTGAACTTGAGTTTGTGGCATTTGTTGAACTTGACTTTGTGTTGTGTTTGTACTTTAGTTTTTGGTGTTTTTGAACTTGAGTTTCTGTTTTTTTTTAACTTGAGGTTGTGGAAATTGCTAAACTTGAGAATTGGGTATTGGTTGAACTTGAGTTTTTTGTGTTTTTGAACTTGAGTTTGTGTTGTTTTTGAATTGAGTTTGTGGTGTTTTTGAACTTGAATTTGGGTATTTGGTGAACTTGAGTTTGTGTGTTTTTTTAACTTGAGTTTGTGTCGTGTTTGAACTTGAGTTTGTGTCGTTTTTGAACTATAGTTTGTGTGTTTGTTGAACTTGAGTTTGTGTTGTGTTTGAACTTGAGATTGTGTGATTATTGAACTTGAGTTTCTGTTGTTTTTGAACTTGAGGTTTTGGAAAAGGTTAAACTTGAGAATCAGGTTTTGGTTGAACTTGAGTTGCGTGTTTGGTGAACTTGAGTTTGTATTGTCTTTGAACTTGAGTTTTTGGTGTTTTTGAACTTGTGTTTGTGTGTTTTTGAACTTGAGTTTGTGGTGTTTTTGAACTTAAGTTTGTTTCGTGTTTGAACTTGAGTTCTTGTCATGTTTGAACTTGAGTTTGTGGTGTTTTTGAACTTGGGTTTGTGGTGTGTTTGAACTTGAGTTTGTGTGTTTTGTTGAACTTAAGGTTGTTGCAATTTTTAAACTTGAGATTTGGGAATTTGTTAAACTTGAGTTATTGTGTTTGTTGAACTTGAGTTTGTCTCGTGTTTTTGAACTTGTGTTTGTGTGTTTTTGAACTTGAGTTTGTGGTGTTTTTGAACTTAAGTTTGTTTCGTGTTTGAACTTGAGTTCTTGTCATGTTTGAACTTGAGTTTGTGGTGTTTTTGAACTTGAGTTCGTGTCGTGTTTGAACTTGAGTATGTGTGTTTGTTGAACTTGAGTTTGTCTCGTGTTTGAACTTGAGTTTCTGTTGTTTTTGAACTTGAGGTTGTGGAAATGTTTAAACTTGAGAATCAGGTGTTGGTTGAACTTGAGTTGCGTGTTTGTTGAACTTGAGTTTGTGCCGTGTTTGAACTGGAGTTTGTGTCGTTTTTGATCTTGAGTTTGTGTGTTTGTTGAACTTGAGTTTGTGTTGTGTTTGAACTTGAGTTTGTCTCGTGTTTGAACTTGAGTTTGTGTTGTGTTTGGTGAACTTGAGATTGTGTGATTATTGAACTTGAGTTTCTGTTGTTTTTGAACTTGAGGTTGTGGAAAAGGTTAAATTTGAGAATCAGGTTTTGGTTGAACTTGAGTTGCGTGTTTGGTGAACTTGAGTTTGTATTGTCTTTGAACTTGAGTTTTTGGTGTTTTTGAACTTGTGTTTGTGTGTTTTTGAACTTGAGTTTGTGTGTTTGTTGAACTTGAGTTTGTGTTTTTTTTAACTTGAGTTTGTGGTGTTTTTGAACTTGACTTTGTTTCGTTTTTGAACTTGAGTTTGTGGCATTTGTTGAACTTGACTTTGTGTTGTGTTTGTACTTTAGTTTTTGGTGTTTTTGAACTTGAGTTTCTGTTTTTTTTTAACTTGAGGTTGTGGAAATTGCTAAACTTGAGAATTGGGTATTGGTTGAACTTGAGTTTTTTGTGTTTTTGAACTTGAGTTTGTGTTGTTTTTGAATTGAGTTTGTGGTGTTTTTGAACTTGAATTTGGGTATTTGGTGAACTTGAGTTTGTGTGTTTTTTGAACTTGAGTTTCTGTTTTTTTTTAACTTGAAGTTGTGGAAATTGTTAAACCTTAGAATCAGGTGTTGGTTGAACTTGAGATTGTGTGTTTCTTGAACTTGAGTTTGTGTCGTGTTTGAACTTGAGTTTATGGTGATTTTGAACTTGAGTTTGTGGTGTTTTTTAACTTAAGTTTGTTTTGTGTTTGAACTTGAGTTTGTGTCGTGTTTGAACTTGAGTTTGTGGTGTTTTTGAACTTGAGGTTGTTGAAATTGTTAAACTTGAGAATTGGGTATTGGTTGAACTTGAGTTTGTGATTTTGTTGAACTTGAGTTTGTGTCGTGTTTTAACTTGAGTTTGTGATGTTTTTGAATTTGAGTTTGTGTGTTGGTTGAACTTGAGTTTGTGTTGTGTTTGACCTTGAGTTTGTGGTGTTTTTGAACTTAAGTTTGTTTCGTGTTTGAACTTGAGTTCTTGTCATGTTTGAACTTGAGTTTGTGGTGTTTTTGAACTTGAGTTTGTGGTGTGTTTGAACTTGAGTTTGTGTGTTTTGTTGAACTTAAGGTTGTTGCAATTTTTAAACTTGAGATTTGGGAATTTGTTAAACTTGAGTTATTGTGTTTGTTGAACTTGAGTTCGTGTCGTGTTTGAACTTGAGTTTGTGGTGTTTTTGAACTTGAGTTTGTGTGTTTGTTGAACTTGAGTTTGTGTTGTGTTTGAACTTGAGTTTGTGTTGTTTTTGAGCTTGAGTGTGTGGTGTTTTTGAACTTGAGTTTATGATATTTTTGAACTTGAGGTTGTGGAAATTGTTTAACTTGAGAATTGAGTATTGTTTGAACTTGAGTTTTTTTGTTTTTGAACTTGAGTTTGTGTCGTGTTTAAACTTGAGTTTGTCGTGTGTTTGAACTTGAGTTTGTGTGTTTTTTGAACTTGAGGTTGTGGCAATTGTTAAACTTGAGATTTGGGTGATCGTTGAACTTTAGTTTGTGTCGTGTTTGAACTTTAGTTAATGTTGTTTGTTTAACTTGAGTTTGTCTGTTTTTTTAACTTGAGGTTTTGGCAATTTTCAAGGTTGAGATTTGGGTATTGGTTGAACTTGAGTTAGTGTGTTTGTTGAACTTGAGTTCGTGTCGTGTTTGAACTTGAGTTTTTAGTGTTTTTGAACTTGAGTCTGTGTGTTTTTTTAACTTTAATTTGTGTTGTGTTTGAACGTGAGTTTGTGGTGTTTTTGAACTTGTTTGTTTCATGTTTGAACTTGAGTTTGTGGCGTTTGTTGAACTTGAGTTTGTGGTGTTTGTTGAACTTGAGTTTGTGTCATGTTTGAACTTGAGTTTGTAGTGTGTTTGACCATGAGTTTGTGGTGTGTTTGAACTTAAGTTTGTGTGTTTGTTGAACTTGAGGTTGTGGCAATTTTCAAGCTTGAGATTTGGATGTTGGTTGAACTTGAGTTTGTGTGTTTTTTGAATTTGAGTTCGTGTTGTTTGTTGAACTTGAGTTTGTGAAAATTTTTAAACTTGAGAATCAGGTGTTGGTTGAACTTGAGTTTGTGGTTTTTGGTAGACCAGAGTTTGTGTCGTGTTTGAACTTGAGTTTGTGGTGTTTTTGAACTTGAGTTTGTTTCGTGTTTGAACTTGAGTTTGTGGCATTTGTTGAACTTGAGTTTGTGAAAATTTTTAAACTTGAGAATCAGGTGTTGGTTGAACTTGAGTTTGTGTGTTTTTTGAACTTGAGTTTCTGTTGTTTTTGAACTTGAGGTTGTGGAAATGGTAAAACTTGAGAATCAGGTGTTGGTTGAACTTGAGTTGCGTGTTTGGTGAATTTGAGTTTGTATTGTCGTTGTACTTGAGGTTTTGTTGTTTTTGAACTTGAGGTTGTGGAAATTGTTAAACTTGAGAATCAGGTGTTGGTTGAACTTGAGTTTGTGTGTTTGTTGAACTTGAGTTTGTGTCGTGTTTGAACTTGAGTTTGTGTCGTTTTTGAACTATAGTTTGTGTGTTTGTTGAACTTGAGTTTGTGTTGTGTTTGAACTTGAGTTTGTGTGTATTTTGAACTTGAGTTTGTTTCGTGTTTGGTGAACTTGAGATTGTGTGATTATTGAACTTGAGTTTCTGTTGTTTTTGAACTTGAGGTTTTGGAAAAGGTTAAACTTGAGAATCAGGTTTTGGTTGAACTTGAGTTGCGTGTTTGGTGAACTTGAGTTTGTATTGTCTTTGAACTTGAGTTTTTGGTGTTTTTGAACTTGTGTTTGTGTGTTTTTGAACTTGAGTTTGTGGTGTTTTTGAACTTAAGTTTGTTTCGTGTTTGAACTTGAGTTCTTGTCATGTTTGAACTTGAGTTTGTGGTGTTTTTGAACTTGAGTTTGTGGTGTGTTTGAACTTGAGTTTGTGTGTTTTGTTGAACTTAAGGTTGTTGCAATTTTTAAACTTGAGATTTGGGAATTTGTTAAACTTGAGTTATTGTGTTTGTTGAACTTGTGTTCGTGTCGTGTTTGAACTTGAGTTTGTGGTGTTTTTGAACTTGAGTTTGTGTGTTTGTTGAACTTGAGTTTGTGTTGTGTTTGAACTTGAGTTTGTGTTGTTTTTGAGCTTGAGTGTGTGGTGTTTTTGAACTTGAGTTTATGATATTTTTGAACTTGAGGTTGTGGAAATTGTTTAACTTGAGAATTGAGTATTGTTTGAACTTGAGTTTTTTTGTTTTTGAACTTGAGTTTGTGTCGTGTTTTAACTTGAGTTTGTCGTGTGTTTGAACTTGAGTTTGTGTGTTTTTTGAACTTGAGGTTGTGGCAATTGTTAAACTTGAGATTTGGGTGATCGTTGAACTTTAGTTTGTGTCGTGTTTGAACTTTAGTTAATGTTGTTTGTTTAACTTGAGTTTGTCTGTTTTTTTAACTTGAGGTTTTGAAATTTTTTAAACTTGAGATTTGGGTATTGGTTGAACTTGAGTTAGTGTGTTTGTTGAACTTGAGTTCGTGTCGTGTTTGAACTTGAGTTTTTAGTGTTTTTGAACTTGAGTCTGTGTGTTTTTTTAACTTTAATTTGTGTTGTGTTTGAACGTGAGTTTGTGGTGTTTTTGAACTTGTGTTTGTTTCATGTTTGAACTTGAGTTTGTGGCGTTTGTTGAACTTGAGTTTGTGGTGTTTGTTGAACTTGAGTTTGTGTCATGTTTGAACTTGAGTTTGTAGTGTGTTTGACCATGAGTTTGTGGTGTGTTTGAACTTAAGTTTGTGTGTTTGTTGAACTTGAGGTTGTGGCAATTTTCAAGCTTGAGATTTGGATGTTGGTTGAACTTGAGTTTGTGTGTTTTTTGAATTTGAGTTCGTGTTGTTTGTTGAACTTGTGTTTGTGAAAATTTTTAAACTTGAGAATCAGGTGTTGGTTGAACTTGAGTTTGTGGTTTTTGGTAGACCAGAGTTTGTGTCGTGTTTGAACTTGAGTTTGTGGTGTTTTTGAACTTGAGTTTGTTTCGTGTTTGAACTTGAGTTTGTGGCATTTGTTGAACTTGAGTTTGTGTAAATTTTTAAACTTGAGAATCAGGTGTTGGTTGAACTTGAGTTTGTGTGTTTTTTGAACTTGAGTTTCTGTTGTTTTTGAACTTGAGGTTGTGGAAATGGTAAAACTGGAGAATCAGGTGTTGGTTGAACTTGAGTTGCGTGTTTGGTGAATTTGAGTTTGTATTGTCTTTGTACTTGAGTTTTTGTTGTTTTTGAACTTGAGGTTGTGGAAATTGTTAAACTTGAGAATCAGGTGTTGGTTGAACTTGAGTTTGTGTGTTTGTTGAACTTGAGTTTGTGTCGTGTTTGAACTTGAGTTTGTGTCGTTTTTGAACTATAGTTTGTGTGTTTGTTGAACTTGAGTTTGTGTTGTGTTTGAACTTGAGTTTGTGTGTATTTTGAACTTGAGTTTGTTTCGTGTTTGGTGAACTTGAGATTGTGTGATTATTGAACTTGAGTTTCTGTTGTTTTTGAACTTGAGGTTTTGGAAAAGGTTAAACTTGAGAATCAGGTTTTGGTTGAACTTGAGTTGCGTGTTTGGTGAATTTGAGTTTGTATTGTCTTTGAACTTGAGTTTTTGTTGTTTTTGAACTTGTGTTTGTGTGTTTTTGAACTTGAGTTTGTGGTGTTTGTTGAACTTGAGTTTGTGTCATGTTTGAACTTGAGTTTGTAGTGTGTTTGACCATGAGTTTGTGGTGTGTTTGAACTTAAGTTTGTGTGTTTGTTGAACTTGAGGTTGTGGCAATTTTCAAGCTTGAGATTTGGATGTTGGTTGAACTTGAGTTTGTGTGTTTTTTGAATTTGAGTTCGTGTTGTTTGTTGAACTTGAGTTTGTGAAAATTTTTAAACTTGAGAATCAGGTGTTGGTTGAACTTGAGTTTGTGGTTTTTGGTAGACCAGAGTTTGTGTCGTGTTTGAACTTGAGTTTGTGGTGTTTTTGAACTTGAGTTTGTTTCGTGTTTGAACTTGAGTTTGTGGCATTTGTTGAACTTGAGTTTGTGAAAATTTTTAAACTTGAGAATCAGGTGTTGGTTGAACTTGAGTTTGTGTGTTTTTTGAACTTGAGTTTCTGTTGTTTTTGAACTTGAGGTTGTGGAAATGGTAAAACTTGAGAATCAGGTGTTGGTTGAACTTGAGTTGCGTGTTTGGTGAATTTGAGTTTGTATTGTCTTTGTACTTGAGTTTTTGTTGTTTTTGAACTTGAGGTTGTGGAAATTGTTAAACTTGAGAATCAGGTGTTGGTTGAACTTGAGTTTGTGTGTTTGTTGAACTTGAGTTTGTGTCGTGTTTGAACTTGAGTTTGTGTCGTTTTTGAACTAAAGTTTGTGTGTTTGTTGAACTTGAGTTTGTGTTGTGTTTGAACTTGAGTTTGTGTGTATTTTGAACTTGAGTTTGTTTCGTGTTTGGTGAACTTGAGATTGTGTGATTATTGAACTTGAGTTTCTGTTGTTTTTGAACTTGAGGTTTTGGAAAAGGTTAAACTTGAGAATCAGGTTTTGGTTGAACTTGAGTTGCGTGTTTGGTGAACTTGAGTTTGTATTGTCTTTGAACTTGAGTTTTTGGTGTTTTTGAACTTGTGTTTGTGTGTTTTTGAACTTGAGTTTGTGGTGTTTTTGAACTTAAGTTTGTTTCGTGTTTGAACTTGAGTTCTTGTCATGTTTGAACTTGAGTTTGTGGTGTTTTTGAACTTGAGTTTGTGGTGTGTTTGAACTTGAGTTTGTGTGTTTTGTTGAACTTAAGGTTGTTGCAATTTTTAAACTTGAGATTTGGGAATTTGTTAAACTTGAGTTATTGTGTTTGTTGAACTTGAGTTCGTGTCGTGTTTGAACTTGAGTATGTGTGTTTGTTGAACTTGAGTTTGTCTTGTGTTTGAACTTGAGTTTCTGTTGTTTTTGAACTTGAGGTTGTGGAAATGGTTAAACTTGAGAATCAGGTGTTGGTTGAACTTGAGTTGCGTGTTTGTTGAACTTGAGTTTGTGCCGTGTTTGAACTGGAGTTTGTGTCGTTTTTGATCTTGAGTTTGTGTGTTTGTTGAACTTGAGTTTGTGTTGTGTTTGAACTTGAGTTTGTCTCGTGTTTGAACTTGAGTTTGTGTTGTGTTTGGTGAACTTGAGATTGTGTGATTATTGAACTTGAGTTTCTGTTGTTTTTGAACTTGAGGTTGTGGAAAAGGTTAAATTTGAGAATCAGGTTTTGGTTGAACTTGAGTTGCGTCTTTGGTGAACTTGAGTTTGTATTGTCTTTGAACTTGAGTTTTTGGTGTTTTTGAACTTGTGTTTGTGTGTTTTTGAACTTGAGTTTGTGTGTTTGTTGAACTTGAGTTTGTGTTTTTTTTAACTTGAGTTTGTGGTGTTTTTGAACTTGACTTTGTTTCGTTTTTGAACTTGAGTTTGTGGCATTTGTTGAACTTGACTTTGTGTTGTGTTTGTACTTTAGTTTTTGGTGTTTTTGAACTTGAGTTTCTGTTTTTTTTTAACTTGAGGTTGTGGAAATTGCTAAACTTGAGAATTGGGTATTGGTTGAACTTGAGTTTTTTGTGTTTTTGAACTTGAGTTTGTGTTGTTTTTGAATTGAGTTTGTGGTGTTTTTGAACTTGAATTTGGGTATTTGGTGAACTTGAGTTTGTGTGTTTTTTGAACTTGAGTTTCTGTTTTTTTTTAACTTGAAGTTGTGGAAATTGTTAAACCTTAGAATCAGGTGTTGGTTGAACTTGAGTTTGTGTGTTTCTTGAACTTGAGTTTGTGTCGTGTTTGAACTTGAGTTTGTGGTGATTTTGAACTTGAGTTTGTGGTGTTTTTTAACTTAAGTTTGTTTTGTGTTTGAACTTGAGTTCGTGTCGTGTTTGAACTTGAGTTTGTGGTGTTTTTGAACTTGAGGTTGTTGAAATTGTTAAACTTGAGAATTGGGTATTGGTTGAACTTGAGTTTGTGATTTTGTTGAACTTGAGTTTGTGTCGTGTTTTAACTTGAGTTTGTGATGTTTTTGAATTTGAGTTTGTGTGTTGGTTGAACTTGAGTTTGTGTTGTGTTTGACCTTGAGTTTGTGGTGTTTTTGAACTTGAGTTTGTGGTGTGTTTGAACTTGAGTTTGTTTCGTGTTTGAACTTGAGTTCTTGTCATGTTTCAACTTGAGTTTGTGGTGTTTTTGAACTTGAGTTTGTGGTGTGTTTGAACTTGAGTTTGTGTGTTTTGTTGAACTTAAGGTTGTTGCAATTTTTAAACTTGAGATTTGGGAATTGGTTAAACTTGAGTTATTGTGTTTGTTGAACTTGAGTTCGTGTCGTGTTTGAACTTGAGTTTGTGGTGTTTTTGAACTTGAGTTTGTGTGTTTGTTGAACTTGAGTTTGTGTTGTGTTTGAACTTGAGTTTGTGTTGTTTTTGAGCTTGAGTGTGTGGTGTTTTTGAACTTGAGTTTATGATATTTTTGAACTTGAGGTTGTGGAAATTGTTTAACTTGAGAATTGAGTATTGTTTGAACTTGAGTTTTTTTGTTTTTGAACTTGAGTTTGTGTCGTGTTTAAACTTGAGTTTGTCGTGTGTTTGAACTTGAGTTTGTGTGTTTTTTGAACTTGAGGTTGTGGCAATTGTTAAACTTGAGATTTGGGTGATCGTTGAACTTTAGTTTGTGTCGTGTTTGAACTTTAGTTAATGTTGTTTGTTTAACTTGAGTTTGTCTGTTTTTTTAACTTGAGGTTTTGAAATTTTTTAAACTTGAGATTTGGGTATTGGTTGAACTTGAGTTAGTGTGTTTGTTGAACTTGAGTTCGTGTCGTGTTTGAACTTGAGTTTTTAGTGTTTTTGAACTTGAGTCTGTGTGTTTTTTTAACTTTAATTTGTGTTGTGTTTGAACGTGAGTTTGTGGTGTTTTTGAACTTGTGTTTGTTTCATGTTTGAACTTGAGTTTGTGGCGTTTGTTGAACTTGAGTTTGTGGTGTTTGTTGAACTTGAGTTTGTGTCATGTTTGAACTTGAGTTTGTAGTGTGTTTGACCATGAGTTTGTGGTGTGTTTGAACTTAAGTTTGTGTGTTTGTTGAACTTGAGGTTGTGGCAATTTTCAAGCTTGAGATTTGGATGTTGGTTGAACTTGAGTTTGTGTGTTTTTTGAATTTGAGTTGGTGTTGTTTGTTGAACTTGAGTTTGTGAAAATCTTTAAACTTGAGAATCAGGTGTTGGTTGAACTTGAGTTTGTGGTTTTTGGTAGACCAGAGTTTGTGTCGTGTTTGAACTTGAGTTTGTGGTGTTTTTGAACTTGAGTTTGTTTTGTGTTTGAACTTGAGTTTGTGGCATTTGTTGAACTTGAGTTTGTGAAAATTTTTAAACTTGAGAATCAGGTGTTGGTTGAACTTGAGTTTGTGTGTTTGGTGAACTTGAGTTTGTATTGTCTTTGAACTTGAGTTTTTGTTGTTTTTGAACTTGAGGTTGTGGAAATTGTTAAACTTGAGAATCAGGTGTTGGTTGAACTTGAGTTTGTGTGTTTGTTGAACTTGAGTTTGTGTCGTGTTTGAACTTGAGTTTGTGTCGTTTTTGAACTATAGTTTGTGTGTTTGTTGAACTTGAGTTTGTGTTGTGTTTGAACTTGAGTTTGTGTGTATTTTGAACTTGAGTTTGTTTCGTGTTTGGTGAACTTGAGATTGTGTGATTTTTGAACTTGAGTTTCTGTTGTTTTTGAACTTGAGGTTTTGGAAAAGGTTAAACTTGAGAATCAGGTTTTGGTTGAACTTGAGTTGGGTGTTTTGTGAACTTGAGTTTGTATTGTCTTTGAACTTGAGTTTTTGGTGTTTTTGAACTTGTGTTTGTGTGTTTTTGAACTTGAGTTTGTGTGTTTGTTGAACTTGAGTTTGTGTTTTTTTTTAACTTGAGTTTGTGGTGTTTTTTAACTTGACTTTGTTTCGTTTTTGAACTTGACTTTGTGGCATTTGTTGAACTTGACTTTGTGGCATTTGTTGAACTTGACTTTGTGTTGTGTTTGTACTTTAGTTTTTTGTGTTTTTGAACTTGAGTTTCTGGGTTTTTTTAACTTGAGGTTGTGGAAATTGCTAAACTTGGGAATTGGGTATTGGTTGAACTTGAGTTTTTTGTGTTTTTAAACTTGAGTTTGTGTTGTTTTTGAATTGAGTTTGTGGTGTTTTTGAACTTGAATTTGGGTCTTTGGTGAACTTGAGTTTGTGTGTTTTTTGAACTTGAGTTTGTGTCGTTTTTGAACTTGAGTTGCGTGTTTGGTGAACTTGAGTTTTTTGTGTTTTTGAACTTGAGTTTGTGTTGTTTTTGAACTTGAGGTTGTGGAAATGGTAAAACTTGAGAATCAGGTGTCTTTGAACTTGAGTTGCGTGTTTGGTGAACTTGAGTTTGTATTGTCTTTGAACTTGAGTTTTTGTTGTTTTTGAACTTGAGGTTGTGGAAATTGTTAAACTTGAGAATCAGGTGTTGGTTGAACTTGACTTTGTGTGTTTGTTGAACTTGAGTTTGTGTCGTGTTTGAACTTGAGTTTGTGTCGTTTTTGAACTATAGTTTGTGTGTTTGTTGAACTTGAGTTTGTGTTGTGTTTGAACTTGAGTTTGTGTGTATTTTGAACTTGAGTTTGTTTCGTGTTTGGTGAACTTGAGATTGTGTGATTATTGAACTTGAGTTTCTGTTGTTTTTGAACTTGAGGTTTTGGAAAAGGTTAAACTTGAGAATCAGGTTTTGGTTGAACTTGAGTTGCGTGTTTGGTGAACTTGAGTTTGTATTGTCTTTGAACTTGAGTTTTTGGTGTTTTTGAACTTGTGTTTGTGTGTTTTTGAACTTGAGTTTGTGTGTTTGTTGAACTTGAGTTTGTGTTTTTTTAACTTGAGTTTGTGGTGTTTTTTAACTTGACTTTGTTTCGTTTTTGAACTTGACTTTGTGGCATTTGTTGAACTTGACTTTGTGGCATTTGTTGAACTTGACTTTGTGTTGTGTTTGTACTTTAGTTTTTTGTGTTTTTGAACTTGAGTTTCTGGGTTTTTTTAACTTGAGGTTGTGGAAATTGCTAAACTTGGAAATTGGGTATTGGTTGAACTTGAGTTTTTTGTGTTTTTAAACTTGAGTTTGTGTTGTTTTTGAATTGAGTTTGTGGTGTTTTTGAACTTGAATTTGGGTCTTTGGTGAACTTGAGTTTGTGTGTTTTTTGAACTTGAGTTCGTGTCGTTTTTGAACTTGAGTTGCGTGTTTGGTGAACTTGAGTTTTTTGTGTTTTTGAACTTGGGTTTGTGTTGTTTTTGAATTGAGTTTGTGGTGTTTTTGAACTTGAATTTGGGTATTTGGTGAACTTGAGTTTGTGTGTTTTTTGAACTTGAGTTTCTGTTGTTTTTGAACTTGAAGTTGTGGAAATTGTTAAACCTTAGAATCAGGTGTTGGTTGAACTTGAGTTTGTGTGTTTCTTGAACTTGAGTTTGTGTCGTGTTTGAACTTGAGTTTGTGGTGATTTTGAACTTGAGTTTGTGGTGTTTTTTAACTTAAGTTTGTTTCGTGTTTGAACTTGAGTTTGTGGTGTTTTTGAACTTAAGTTGTTGAAATTGTTAAACTTGAGAATTTGGTATTGGTTGAACTTGAGTTTGTGATTTTGTTGAACTTGAGTTTGTGTCGTGTTTTAACTTGAGTTTGTGATGTTTTTTAATTTGAGTTTGTGTGTTGGTTGAACTTGAGTTTGTGTGTTGTTTTTAACTTAAGGTTGTTGCAATTTTTAAACTTGAGATTTGGGAATTGGTTAAACTTGAGTTATTGTGTTTGTTGAACTTGAGTTCGTGTCGTGTTTGAACTTGAGTTTGTGGTGTTTTTGAACTTGTGTTTGTTGAACTTGAGTTTGTGTTGTGTTTGAACTTGAGTTTGTGTTGTTTTTGAGCTTGAGTTTGTGGTGTTTTTGAACTTGAGTTTATGATATTTTTGAACTTGAGGTTGTGGAAATTGTTTAACTTGAGAATTGAGTATTGTTTGAACTTGAGTTTTTTTGTTTTTGAACTTGAGTTTGTGTCGTGTTCAAACTTGAGTTTGTTGTGTGTTTGAACTTGAGTTTGTGTGTTTGTTGAACTTTAGTTTGTGTTGTGTTTGAACTTGAGTTTGTGTTGTTTTTGAGCTTGAGTTTGTGGTGTTTTTGAACTTGAGTTTATGATATTTTTGAACTTGAGGTTGTGGAAATTGTTTAACTTGAGAATTGAGTATTGTTTGAACTTGAGTTTTTTGTTTTTGAACTTGAGTTTGTGTCGTGTTCAAACTTGAGTTTTTCGTGTGTTTGAACTTGAGGTTTTGAAAATTTTTAAACTTGAGATTTGGGTATTGGTTGAACTTGAGTAAGTGTGTTTGTTGAACTTGAGTTCGTGTCGTGTTTGAACTTGAGTTTTTAGTGTTTTTGAACTTGAGTCGGTGTGTTTTTTTAACTTTAATTTGTGGTGTCTTTGAACTTGAGTTTGTGGTGTCTTTGAACTTTAGTTTGTGTTTTTCGAACTTAAGGTGGGGCAATTGTTAAACTTGAGTTTGTGTGTTTTTTTAACTTGAGTTTGTGGTGTTTTTGAACTTGAGTTTGTGTTTTTCGAACTTAAGGTGGGGCAATTGTTAAACTTGTGTTTGTGTGTTTTTTTAACTTGAGTTTGTGTGTTTTTTTAACTTAAGTTTGTGGCAATTGTTAAATTTGAGATTTGGGTGATGGTTGAACTTGAGTTTGTGTCGTGTTTGCACTTGAGTTTGTGCTGTTTTTGAACTTGAGTTTGTGAAATTTGTTGAACTTGAGTTGGTGGTGTTTCTGAACTTGAGTTTCGCGTTTGAACTTGAGTTTGTGGTTTTTGTTGAACTTGAGTTTGTGGTCATTTTGAACTTGAGTTTGTGTTTTGTTTGAACTTGAGTTTTTAGTTTTTGTTGAACTAGAGTTTGTGTCATGTTTGAACTTGAGTTTGTGGTGTTTTTGAACTTGATTTTGTGTGTTTGTTGAACTTGAGTTTGTGGTCATTTTGAACTTGAGTTGGTGGTGTTTTTGAACTTGATTTTCGTGTTTGATCTTGAGTTTGTGGTGTTTATTGAACTTGAGTTTGTGTCGTGTTTGCATTTGAGTTTGTGGTGTTTTTGAACTTTATTTTGTTTGTTCATTGAACTTGAGTTCGTGAAATTTGTTGAACTTGAGTTGGTGGTGTTTCTGAACTTGAGTTTTGTGTTTGAACTTGAGTTTGTGGTTTTTGTTGAACTTGAGTTTGTGTCATGTTTGAACTTGAGTTTGTGGTGATTTTGAACTTGAGTTTGTGGTTTTTTTTAATTTAAGGGTGAGGAATTTGTTGAACTTGAGGTTGTGGCAATTGTAAAACTTGAGTTTGTGTCGTGTTTGAACTTGAGTTTTTGGTGTTTGTTGAACTTGAGTTTGTGTGGTTGGTGAACTTGAGTTTGAGGTGTTTGTTGAACTTGAGTTTGTGTCGTTTTTGCACTTGAGTTTTTGGTGTTTTTTAACTTAATTTTGTGTGTTTGTTGAACTTGAGTTTGTGAAATTTGTTGAACTTGAGTTGGTGGTGTTTCTGAACTTGAGTTTCGTGTTTGAATTTGAGTTTGTGGTTTTTGTTGAACTTGAGTTTGTGTCATGTTTGAACTTGAGTTTGTGGTGATTTTGAACTTGAGTTTGTGTTTTTTTTTAATTTAAGGGTGATAAATTTGTTGAACTTGAGGTTGTGGCAATTGTTTAACTTGAGTTTGTGTTTAAGTTGAACTTAAGTTTGTGTTGTTTTTGAACATGAGTTTGTTTCATGTTTTGAACTTGTGTTTGTGGCATTTGTTGAACTTGAGTTTGTGTGGTTGTTGAACTTAAGGTTGTGGCAATTGTTAAACTTTAGATTGTGTTGTTGATTGAACTATAGTTTGTGTCGTGTTTGAACTTGAGTTTGTGGTTTTTGTTGAACTTTAGTTTGTGTCATGTTTGAACTTGAGTTTGTGGTGTCTTTGAACTTGAGTTTGTGTTTTTCGAACTTAAGGTGGGGCAATTGTTAAACTTGAGTTTGTGTGTTTTTTAAACTTGAGTTTGTGGTGTTTTTGAACTTGAGTTTGTGTGTTTTTTTAACTTAAGTTTGTGGCAATTGTTAAATTTGAGATTTGGGTGATGGTTGAACTTGAGTTTGTGTCGTGTTTGCACTTGAGTTTGTGGTGTTTTTGAACTTGAGTTTGTGAAATTTGTTGAACTTGAGTTGGTGGTGTTTCTGAACTTGAGTTTCGCGTTTGAACTTGAGTTTCTGGTTTTTGTTGAACTTTAGTTTGTGTCGTGTTTGAACTTGAGTTTGTGGTGTTTTTGAACTTCTTGTTTGTGGTTTTTTGAAGTTGAGGGTGTGGAATTTGTTGAACTTGAGGTTGTGGCAATTGTTAAACTTGAGTTTCTGTTTTTGTTGAACTTGAGTTTGTGTCGTGTTTGAACTTGAGTTTTTGTGTTCGTTGAACGTAAGTTTGTGATGTTTTGTAGTGATTTTGAACTTGAGTTTGTGGTCTTTTTTAATTTAAGGGTGAGGAATTTGTTGAACTTGAGGTTGTGGCAATTGTTTAACTTGAGTTTGTGTTTAAGTTGAACTTAAGTTTGTGTTGTTTTTGAACATGAGTTTGTTTCATGTTTTGAACTTGTGTTTGTGGCATTTGTTGAACTTGAGTTTGTGTGGTTGTTGAACTTAAGGTTGTGGCAATTGTTAAACTTAAGATTTGGTTGTTGATTGAACTATAGTTTGTGTCGTGTTTGAACTTGAGTTTGTGGTTTTTTTTTTAACTTAAGTATTGGGTAGTGGTTGAACTTGAGTTTGTGTGTTTGTTGAACTTGAGTTTGTTTCGTTTTTGAACTTGAGTTTGTGTGTTTGTTGAATTTGATTTTGTGGGTTTTTTTGACTTGAGTATGTTTCATGTTTTAACTTGAGTTTGTGGCATTTGTTGAAATTGACTGTGTGTTTGTTGAACTTGAGGTTGTGGCAATTGTTAAACTTGATATTTGGGTGTTGGTTGAACTTAAGTTTGTGTCGTATTTGAACTTGAGTTTGTGGTGTGTTTGAACTTGAGTTTGTGGCAATTGTTGAAATTGAATCTGTGGTTTTTAGTGAACTTTAATTGGTGGCAATTGTTGAACTTGAGTTTGTGGCGTTTTTTGAACTTGAGTTTGTTGTGTGTTTGAACTTGAGTTTTTGGTGTTTGTTGAACTTGAGGTTGTGCCAATTGTTAAACTTGAGATTTGGGTGTTGGTTGAACTTGAGTTTGTGTCGTGTTTGAACTTGAGTTCATGTTGTTTGTTGAACTTGAGTTTCTGTTGTTTTTGAACAAGAGGTTGTTGAATTTGTTAAACTTGAGACTCAGCTGTTGGTTGAACTTGAGTTTGTGTGTTTGTTGAAATTGATTTTGTGTTGTTTCTCAACTTGAGTTTTTGGTGTTTTTGAACTTGAGTTTGTTTGTTTGTTGAACTTGAGTTTGTGTTGTATTTGAACATGAGTTTGTGTTGTTTTCGAATTTGATTTTGTTTTAGTGTTTGAACTTGAAATTTTGGAATTTGTTGAACTTGAGTATGTGTCGTTTTTGAACTTGTGTTTGTCTTGTTTTTGAACTTGAGTTTTTGGAGTTTTTGAACTTGAGGGTGTGGAATTTGTTAAACTTGAGAATTTTGAGTTTGTGTGTTTGTTGAACTTTAGTTTGTGTTATGTTTGAACTTGAATTTGTGTGTTTGTTGAACTTGAGTTTATGTTGTGTTTGAACTTGACTTTGTGGAGTTTTTGAACTTGAGTTTTTGTGTTTGTTGAACTTTAGTTTGTGTTGTGTTTGAACTTGAGTTCATGGTGTTTTTGAGATTGAGTTTGTGTCGTGTTTGAACTTGAGTTCGTGTCATGTTTGAACTTGAGTTTGTGGTGTTGTTGAACTTTGTTGAACTAACCTAACACCCGGGTATTACCTTCAGGAAGCCCGAACACCCCAATTTTTTTTTTTTTTTTTTTCTTTTTTTTTTTGGTCTAACTAACTCAAAAGGTTGGAAAAGAGTTCCTACAAAGGTTTTGGACAGTGATTTTAAACCTAACGCCAAAAACCTTAAACCTTACCATAGCCCCATAACCTAATTCCCGGGTATTACCTTCAGGAAGCCCGAAAACCCCAAATATTTTTTTTTAATTTTACATTTTTGTTGGTGTAACCAACTCCAAAAGGTGGAAAAGAGTTCCTACAAAGTTTTTGGACAGTGATTTTAACCCTAACGCCAAAAACCTTAAACCTTTCCCTAGCCCCAAAACTTAATACCCGGGTATTCCATTCAGGAAGCCAGAAAACCCAAAATATTTTTTTTCTTCATTTTAAATTTTTGTTGGTGTAACCAACTCCAAAAGGTTGGAAAAGAGTTCCTACAAGGGCTTTGGATAGTGATTTTAAACCTAACGCCAAAAACTTTAAACCTTACCCTAGCCCCATAACCTAATACCCGGGTATTACTTTTAGGAAGCCCGGAAACCCCAAATATTCTTTTTTCATTTTTCATTTTTTTTTTGGTCTAACTAAGTCCAAAAGGTTGGAAAGAGTTCCTACAAATGTTTTGGACAGTGATTTTAAACCTAACGCCAAAACGTTAAACCTTACCATAGCCCCATAACCTAATACCCGGGTATTACTTTTAGGAAGCCTGAACACCCCAAATGTTTTTTTTTCATTTTTCATTTTTGTTGGTGAAACCAACTCCAAAAGGTTGGAAAAGAGTTCCTACAAAGTTTTTGGACAGTGATTTTAAACCTAATGCCAAAAACCTTAAACCATACCATAGCCCCATAGCCTAATACCCAGGTATTACCTTTAGGAAGCCAGAAAACCCCAAACATTTTTTTTTCATTTTACATTTTTTTTTGGTCTAACTAACTCCAAAAGGTTGGGAAAGAGTTCCTACAAAGGTTTTGGACAGTGATTTTAACCCTAATTCCAAAAACTTTAAACCTTACCATAGCCCCATAACCTAATACCCGGGTATTACTTTTAGGAAGCCTGAACACCCCAAATATTTTTTTTTCATTTTTCATTTTTTTTTTTGGTCTAACTAACTCCAAAAGGTTGGGAAAGAGTTCCTACAAAGGTTTTGGACAGTGATTTTAAACCTAATGCCAAAAACCTTAAACCTTACCATAGCCCCATAACCTAATACCGGGGTATTACTTTTAGGAAGCCTGAACACCCCAAATATTTTTTTTTTCATTTTTCATTTTTTTTGGTCTAACTAACTCCAAAAGGTTAGAAAAGAGTTCCTACAAAGGTTTTGGACAGTGATTTTAACCCTTACGCCAAAAACCTTAAACTTTTCCCTAGTCCCAAAACCTAATACCCGGGTATTACTTTCAGGGAGCCCGAAAACCCCCAATATTTTTTTTTTCTTTTTTCATTTTTTTTTTGGTCTAAGTAACTCCAAAAGTTGAGAATTGGGTAGTGGTTGAACTTGAGTTTGTGTGTTTGTTGAATTTGAATTTGTGTTATGTTTCAACTTGAGTTTGTGGTGTTTTTGAACTTTAGTTTGTGTGTTTGTTGAACTTCAGTTTTTGTTGTGTTTGAACTTGAGTTTGTGGCATTTTTGAACTTGATTTTTTGTTTTTGTTGAACTTGAGTTTGTTTGATTGTTGACCTTGAGTTTGTGTCGTGTTTGAACTTGAGTTTGTCGTGTTTGAACTTGAGTTTTGGGCATTTGTTGAACTTGAGTTTGTGTCGTTTTTGAACTTGCCTTTGTGGTGTTTTTGAACTTGAGGGTGTGGAATTGTTTGGACTTGAGGTTGTAGCAATTGTTAAACAATTGTTGAACTTGGGTTTTTGTTGCGTTTGAACTTGAATTTGTGGTGTTTTTTGAACTTGAGTCTGTTGTTTTTGAACTTGAGGTTGTGGAAATTGTTAAACTTTAGAATCAGTTGTCTGTTGAACTTGAGTTAGTGTGTTTGTTAAACTTGAGTTTGTGTTGTGTTTGAAATTGAGTTTTTGGTGTTTTTGAACTTTCGTGTTTTTTTTCGTGTTTGAATTTGAATTTGTGGCATTTGTTGAACTTGAGTTTGTGTGTTTGTTGAACTTGAGGTTGTGGCAATTGTTAAACTTGAGATTTTGGTGTTGGATGAACTTGAGATTGTGTTGTGTTTGAATTTGAGTTTGTGGAATTTGTTGAACTTGAGGTTGTGGCAATTGTTAAACTTGAGTTTGTGTGTTTGTTGAACTTGAGTTTGTGTCATGTTTGAACTTAAGTTTGTTTGTTTGTTTAACTTGAGATTGTGGCAATTGTTAAACTTGAGATTTGGGTGTTGGTTGAACTTGATTTTGTGTCATGTTTGATCTTGAGTTTGTGTGTTTGTTGAACTTGAGGGTGTGGAATTTGTTAAACTTGAGGTTTTGGCAATTGTAAATTTTGAGTTTGTGTGTTTGTTGAACTTTAGTTTGTGTTATGTTTGAACTTGAATTTGTGTGTTTGTTGAACTTGAGTTTATGTTGTGTTTGAACTTGAATTTGTGTGTTTGTTGAACTTGAGTTTTTGTGTTTGTTGAACTTTAGTTTGTGTTGTGTTTGAACTTGAGTTCATGGTGTTTTTGAGATTGAGTTTGTGTCGTGTTTGAACTTGAGTTCGTGTCATGTTTGAACTTGAGTTTGTGGTGTTGTTGAACTTTGTTGAACTAACCTAACACCCGGGTATTACCTTCAGGAAGCCCGAACACCCCAATTTTTTTTTTTTTTGTTTTTCTTTTTTTTTTTGGTCTAACTAACTCAAAAGGTTGGAAAAGAGTTCCTACAAAGGTTTTGGACAGTGATTTTAAACCTAACGCCAAAAACCTTAAACCTTACCATAGCCCCATAACCTAATTCCCGGGTATTACCTTCAGGAAGCCCGAAAACCCCAAATATTTTTTTTTCTTTTTTCTTTTTTTTTTTTTTGTCTAACTAACTCCAAAAGGTTGGAAAAGAGTTCCTACAAAGGTTTTGGACAGTGATTTTAAACCTAACGCCAAAACGTTAAACCTTACCATAGCCCCATAACCTAATACCCGGGTATTACTTTTAGGAAGCCTGAACACCCCAAATGTTTTTTTTTCATTTTTCATTTTTGTTGGTGAAACCAACTCCAAAAGGTTGGAAAAGAGTTCCTACAAAGTTTTTGGACAGTGATTTTAAACCTAATGCCAAAAACCTTAAACCATACCATAGCCCCATAACCTAATACCCAGGTATTACCTTCAGGAAGCCAGAAAACCCCAAACATTTTTTTTTCATTTTACATTTTTTTTTGGTCTAACTAACTCCAAAAGGTTGGGAAAGAGTTCCTACAAAGGTTTTGGACAGTGATTTTAACCCTAATGCCAAAAACTTTAAACCTTACCATAGCCCCATAACCTAATACCCGGGTATTACTTTTAGGAAGCCTGAACACCCCAAATATTTTTTTTTCATTTTTCATTTTTTTTTTTGGTCTAACTAACTCCAAAAGGTTGGGAAAGAGTTCCTACAAAGGTTTTGGACAGTGATTTTAAACCTAATGCCAAAAACCTTAAACCTTACCATAGCCCCATAACCTAATACCTGGGTATTACCTTCAGGAAGCCCGAAAACCCCAAATATTTTTTTTTCCTTTTTCATATTTTTTTGGTCTAAGTAACTCCAAAAGGTTGGAAAAGAGTTCCTACAAAGGTTTTGGACAGTGATTTTAACCCTAACGCCAAAAACCTTAAACCTTACCATAGCCCCATAACCTAATACCGGGGTATTACTTTTAGGAAGCCTGAACACCCCAAATATTTTTTTTTCATTTTTCATTTTTTTTTGGTCTAAGTAACTCCAAAAGGTTCGAAAAGAGTTCCTACAAAGGTTTTGGACAGTGATTTTAACCCTAACGCCATAAAACTTAAACCTTACCCTAGCCTTAAAATCTAATACCCGGGTATTACATTCAGGAAGCCCGAAAACCCCAAACATTTTTTTTTCATTTTTCATTTTTTTTTTTGGTCTAACTAACTCCAAAAGGTTGGGAAAGAGTTCCTACAAAGGTTTTGGACAGTGACTTTAACCCTAACGCCAAAAACCTTAAACCTTACCCTAGCCTTAAAATCTAATACCCGGGTATTACCTTCAGGAAGCCCGAACACCCCAAATATATTTTTTTTCATTTTTCATTCTTTTTTTGGTCAGACTAAATCCAAAAGGTTAGAAAAGAGTTCCTACAAAGGTTTTGGACAGTGATTTTAAACTTAACGCCAAAACGTTAAACCTTACCATAGCCCCATAACCTAATACTCGGGTATTATTTTTAGGAAGCCTGAACACCCCAAATATTTTTTTTTCATTTTTCTTTTTTTTTGGTCTAACTAACTCCAAAAGGTTTTGGACAGTGATTTTAACCCTAATGCCAAAAACCTTAAACCTTACCCTAGCCCCAAAACCTAATACCCGGGTATTACTTTTAGGAAGCCTGAACACCCCAAATATTTTTCTTTAATTTTTCTTTTTTTTTTGGTCCAACCAAATCCAAAAGGTTGGAAAAGAGTTCCTACAAAGGTTTTAGACAGTGATTTTAACCCTAATGCCAAAAAACTTAAACCTTACCCTGGCCTTAAAATCTAATACCCGGGTATTACATTAAGGAAGCCCGAAAACCCCAAATATTTTTTTTTTCATTTTTCATTCTTTTTTTGGTCTAACTCCAAAAGGTTGGAAAAGAGTTCCTACAAAGGTTTTGGACAGTGATTTTAAACCTAATGCCAAAAACCTTAAACCATACCATAGCCCCATAACCTAATACCCGGGTATTACCTTCAGGAAGCCCGAAAACCCCAAACATTTTTTTTTCATTTTACATTTTTTTTTGGTCTAACAAACTCCAAAAGGTTGGGAAAGAGTTCCTACAAAGGTTTTGGACAGTGATTTTAACCCTAATGCCAAAAACTTTAAACCTTACCATAGCCCCATAACCTAATACCTGGGTATTACCTTCAGGAAGCCCGAAAACCCCAAATATTTTTTTTTCCTTTTTAATATTTTTTGGTCTAAGTAACTCCAAAAGGTTGGAAAAGAGTTCCTACAAAGGTTTTGGACAGTGATTTTAACCCTAATGCCAAAAAACTTAAACCTTACCATAGCCCCAAAACCTAATACCGGGGTATTACTTTTAGGAAGCCTGAACACCCCAAATATTTTTTTTTTCATTTTTCATTTTTTTTTGGTCTAACTAACTCCAAAAGGTTAGAAAAGAGTTCCTACAAAGGTTTTGGACAGTGATTTTAACCCTTACGCCAAAAACCTTAAACTTTTCCCTAGTCCCAAAACCTAATACCCGGGTATTACTTTCAGGGAGCCCGAAAACCCCCAATATTTTTTTTTTCTTTTTTCATTTTTTTTTTGGTCTAAGTAACTCCAAAAGTTTGGAAAAGAGTTCCTACAAAGGTTTTGGACAGTGATTTTAACCCTAACGCCATTAAGCTTAAACCTTACCATAGCCTTTAAATCTAATACCCAAGTATTACCACAGGAAGCCCGAAAACCCCAAATATTTTTTTTTCCTTTTTCATATTTTTTTGGTCTAAGTAACTCCAAAAGGTTGGAAAAGAGTTCCTACAAAGGTTTTGGACAGTGATTTTAACCCTAACGCCAAAAACCTTAAACCTTACCATAGCCCCATAACCTAATACCGGGGTATTACTTTTAGGAAGCCTGAACACCCCAAATATTTTTTTTTCATTTTTCATTTTTTTTTGGTCTAAGTAACTCCAAAAGGTTCGAAAAGAGTTCCTACAAAGGTTTTGGACAGTGATTTTAACCCTAACGCCATAAAACTTAAACCTTACCCTAGCCTTAAAATCTAATACCCGGGTATTACATTCAGGAAGCCCGAAAACCCCAAATATTTTTTCTCATTTTTCATTTTTTTTTTTGGTCTAACTAACTCCAAAAGGTTGGGAAAGAGTTCCTACAAAGGTTTTGGACAGTGACTTTAACCCTAACGCCAAAAACCTTAAACCTTACCCTAGCCTTAAAATCTAATATTACCTTCAGGAATCCCGAACACCCCAAATATATTTTTTTTCATTTTTCATTCTTTTTTTGGTCAGACTAAATCCAAAAGGTTAGAAAAGAGTTCCTACAAAGGTTTTGGACAGTGATTTTAAACTTAACGCCAAAACGTTAAACCTTACCATAGCCCCATAACCTAATACTCGGGTATTATTTTTAGGAAGCCTGAACACCCCAAATATTTTTTTTTCATTTTTCTTTTTTTTTGGTCTAACTAACTCCAAAAGGTTTTGGACAGTGATTTTAACCCTAATGCCAAAAACCTTAAACCTTACCCTAGCCCCAAAACCTAATACCCGGGTATTACTTTTAGGAAGCCTGAACACCCCAAATATTTTTCTTTCATTTTTCTTTTTTTTTTGGTCCAACCAAATCCAAAAGGTTGGAAAAGAGTTCCTACAAAGGTTTTAGACAGTGATTTTAACCCTAATGCCAAAAAACTTAAACCTTACCCTGGCCTTAAAATCTAATACCCGGGTATTACATTAAGGAAGCCCGAAAACCCCAAATATTTTTTTTTTCATTTTTCATTCTTTTTTTGGTCTAACTCCAAAAGGTTGGAAAAGAGTTCCTACAAAGGTTTTGGACAGTGATTTTAAACCTAATGCCAAAAACCTTAAACCATACCATAGCCCCATAACCTAATACCCGGGTATTACCTTCAGGAAGCCTGAACACCCCAAATATTTTTTTTTCATTTTTTTTTTGGTCTAACTAACTCCAAAAGGTTGGGAAAGAGTTCCTACAAAGGTTTTGGACAGTGATTTTAAACCTAATGCCAAAAACCTTAAACCTTACCATAGCCCCATAACCTAATTACCTGGGTATTACCTTCAGGAAGCCCGAACACCCCAAATATTTTTTTTTCCTTTTTCATATTTTTTGGTCTAAGTAACTCCAAAAGGTTGGAAAAGAGTTCCTACAAAGGTTTTGGACAGTGATTTTAACCCTAACGCCAAAAACCTTAAACCTTACCATAGCCCCAAAACCTAATACCGGGGTATTACTTTTAAGAAGCCTGAACACCCCAAATATTTTTTTTTCATTTTTCATTTTTTTTTGGTCTAACTAACTCCAAAAGGTTAGAAAAGAGTTCCTACAAAGGTTTTGGACAGTGATTTTAACCCTAACGCCAAAAATCTTAAACCTTACCCTAGCCTTAAAATCTAATATCCGGGTATTACCTTCAGGAAGCCCGAACACCCCAAATATTTTTTTTCTTCATTTTACATTTTTGTTGGTGTAACCAACTCCAAAAGGTTGGAAAAGAGTTCCTACAAAGGTTTTGGACAGTGATTTTAACTCTAACGCCAAAAACCTTTAAACTTACCACAGCCCCATAACCTAATTCCCGGGTATTACCTTCAGGAAGCCTGAACACCCCAAATATTCTTTTTTCAATTTTCTTTTTTTTTTGGTCTAACCAACTCACAAAGGTTGGAAAAGAGTTCCTACAACGGTTTTGGACAGTGATTTTAACCCTAACGCCAAAAAACTTAAACCTTACCATAGCCCCATAACCTAATACCCGGGTATTACATTCAGGAAGCCCTTAAACCCCAAATATTTTTTTTTTTCATTTTTCATTATTTTTTGGTCTAACTCCAAAAGGTTGGAAAAGAGTTCCTACAAAGGTTTTGGACAGTGATTTAACCCTAACGCCAAAAACCTTAAACCTTACCATAGTCCCATAACCTAATACCCGGGTATTACATTCAGGAAGCCCGGAAACCCCAAATATATTTTTTTTCATTTTTCATTCTTTTTTTGGTCTATCTAACTCCAAAAGGTTGGAAAGTGTTCCTACAAAGGTTTTGGACAGTGATTTTAACCCTAATGCCAAAAAACTTAAACCTTACCCTAGCCTTAAAATCTAATACCCAGGTATTACATTCAGGAAGCCCGTAAACCCCAAATATATATTTTTTTACTTTTCATTTTTTTTGGTCTAACTAACTCCAAAAGGTTGGAAAAGAGTTCCTTCAAAGGTTTTGGACAGTGATTTTAACCCTAATGCCAAAAGCCTTAAACCTTACCATAGCCCCATAACCTAATACCCGGGTATTACTTTTAGGAAGCCCGGAAACCCCAAATATTTTTTTTTTCATTTTTCATTCTTTTTTTGGTCTAACTAACTCCAAAAGGTTGGGAAAGAGTTCCTACAAAGGTTTTGGACAGTGATTTTAACCCTAATGCCATAAACCTTAAACCTTACCATAGCCCCATAACCTAATACCCGGGTATTACTTTTAGGAAGCCTGAACACCCCAAATATTTTTTTTTCATTTTTCGTTTTTTTTTTGGTCTAAGTAACTCCAAAAGGTTGGAAAAGAGTTCCTACAAAGGTTTTGGACAGTGATTTTAACCCTAACGCCATTAAGCTTAAACCTTACCCTAGCCTTTAAATCTAATACCCGGGTATTACCACAGGAAGCCCGAACACCCCAAATATTTTTTTTTCTTTTTTCATATTTTTTTGGTCTAACTAACTCCAAAAGGTTGGAAAAGAGTTCCTACAAAGGTTTTGGACAGTGATTTTAACCCTAACGCCAAAAACCTTAAACCTTACCATAGCCCCATAACCTAATACCGGGGTATTACTTTTAGGAAGCCTGAACACCCCAAATATTTTTTTTTCATTTTTCATTTTTTTTTGGTCTAAGTAACTCCAAAAGGTTCGAAAAGAGTTCCTACAAAGGTTTTGGACAGTGATTTTAGCCCTAACGCCATAAAACTTAAACCATACCCTAGCCTTAAAATCTAATACCCGGGTATTACATTCAGAAAGCCTGAAAACCCCAAACATTTCTTTTTCATTTTTCATTTTTTTTTTGGTCTAACTAACTCCAAAAGGTTGGGAAAGAGTTCCTACAAAGGTTTTGGACAGTGATTTTAAACCTAATGCCAAAAACTTTAA